GCAAAATATGCTTGAAACTTTTACCATGGGTATTTCATGTATTTTGTAGTCAACTCTACTCAAGTCTACTCAAGTAGAAGGCAGTTGCACTTGAAATAATGACATTACAATTTATGCATTACAGAATGCAAAACAGAAATAAATGTTAAAACAAAAAAGTAAAACATAAAATATGGAAGATCACGAGTCCAACATATCCCACAAATAAATGGCATAAATTTGAACTTAAAGGAAAACGTTTGATTCTGGAAGTAGTCTTTGCAAGCCCTATTGGGATTGCGGGGGGAGGTTTGATTTCAGGGTGAGATTTTAATTTGCCACTCCATCCCACCCCGGATACATTATAGGTAACGTCTACAGTACCCAAACACATGCCGTGGACCATACACACAGCCCTACTGGTAGACTATTCGAGAATATTGCACCCTACAAAAAGAGGCTATAATACTTACTCCAGACTAGATAATCATTTCCATCCACACTACTTTCTGACATGAAACGGGTCCAAATTGGTCCAGTAATGTGGTCAGACCACGCCCCAATCATGACACTGACATCCCCACTGCATAGATCCACCACACTCCATTGGATACTCACTAAATATCTACTCACAGATACATATGTATTCCAGGAGACCCATAATAAATGCAAATGAACAATACAGAAGACATCTCACAACTGCATCTGTGGGAAGCACATCAGTGCATGCTGAGGGGACACTTCATCTCCAAAAGCACCCTCAATAAGGAGGGTATGTAATTCCCAATTATAACAACTGATCAAGACATTCATAGACAGAAGACATCAAACTTGTGAAGCTTCATATCTTCAAAAACTAACCAGTGCATGGAGGGAACTGTCAACACTCCTTAACTTCTCCTACCACGGGATTCTGCTATGCACCAATACATTATTTTACAAGTACGCCAACAAATGCGGAGCCTTATAGCCCATATGTTACACAATGTTACACAAAAAAATACCTAAAATTTGGATGACAGATAACTGACTCCACTACCTACCAGACAGCAGAGACAATTTGTGACTTTTGATGGACTTGTGCCTCATATGACACACCATCGGACATCTGTATAAACAGAGCCTGTACTACCTAAGCCCTTCCTGGTATATAATGAGAGACATCATGGATCAAACCCTTAACCCCTTAAGGACCAAACTTCTGGAATAAAAGAGAATCATGTCATGTGTCCTTAAGGGGTTAAACTAATCTTGAATGCGATTAGACACAATCCAGAGATTAAGGGCTTTAAAGTAGGTAAGACAAAATACAAAATAGTAGCTTGATTGAGATGACCTCCTATTTTATATCAGAAAACAGAAGCTATGCTGCCCCACATAATGAGAGAATTTGAGAACTATGGGGCGTTGGGAATTTTTCAATTAATCACACTGTATCTAAGTCTACAATTCTTAACATATCTGTTCTTAGCAACAGGACCACACTGATCTGCCAGGGTTCCCCCTTCCAGTGGTCTGAAATCTCATTAAAATACCTGGGGGTGTGGCAGACCCCAGAACTCACATGACTGTATCAGTAAATTTTTGCCATGCCCATGTATCGATTCTGACATAACCTTGAGGATTGGGGGATGCCACACCTCTCCTGGGTTGGCAGGAGATTAGTTAAGATGAAACTGCTTCTGAGGGTGTTTCATGATATAATCCCTAATCCCTAGCTACATTTGGCATAAGACATGTGTACCCGGCATGATGTCCTCATTTTCCAGAAGGTTGGAGGAGGTCTGGTGCACCCAGACTTTTGACTCTATTACAAAAACACAGACCTGCAAAGGGTGGTGGAGTGGTCCAACCAAGAGTTTGCTAAATTGTGGAAAGAGATACAAGCTGTGAAGGTGGATAGACCAATGGAAATCCTGGTATAGTTCGATGCATAACAGGGAGCCAGCCTAGCAGTCCCACACCCCTTGATACTCCTGAAACGCCATATCTAGGAGACTATTGCTCCAAGCTGGAACTTTCCTCTTTCCTGTCTCCACTCATGCCAATAATGCATATTCTGGCTTTTCTGCCAGGCCTGGAGGCTACAGCCTTCCAGGGGCTCCTAAGAGAATGAATTCCCCAGATCAGACATGTGCTATGACAAGGTAAAATATTACCCCTACCAAAATTGATAGACCATAGGGAAGCTAACTTCATGATACAGTTTAGATGATACAGCAAGTTATTGAGATATATCTCCTTAAGCTCACAACTTCCCCTCCTCACCAGAGTTATGACCTTGTTTCAGTGCATTCGTATTGATACTGACGCCCTTGAACAACATGAACCTGCCCTTTAAATTCATGGGGAAATAGGAAGCTGTTCTGGGTAAAACCACCACACTACAATAGCAAAAAAATGTGTGACCTCATATTACATTGTGCGATATCAAGCAGATATCAGGAATCAACATACAAACTCCTCTCATATTGGCGCAAGACCCAACAACTTCTACAAGCTATGAGCCCCACCATCGATATTAGGTGTTGGAGGTGTCAACTGACAGAGGGAAAACAATTCCATATCTGGTGGAAATGGTTACTTATACATCCATACTGGGAAAAACTATGCAAGATAATACAGATATTCTCTGATAGTCCTCCACCATTTCTCCCAGACCTGTTTCTACTGCATCATACCTTTACCTGCCCCTCAGCCTACAAGAAATCCCTGATGAATCAAATTCTAAATATGGCCAAAACCCTAATGCCATTGTTTTGGAGGAACTTGGTTCCACTCCCACTAACCCTTTGGTTTCAATGCATTGAGGAACTCCCCTACATGGCAGAACTCATCTTTGGTGCTCAGGGCCACCAACAAATCTATCTATACATTTGGACACACTGGCTCCTCTCAACAGACTCGAGAGATTTCCAGTCCCTATTACTGTGAAGCCATGAGAACGCATGTCTCTACCCCCCCTTCTTTCTGAGCACCCCAGGACCTTTTATAGATCTAAAGAGGCTAGGCCTTCAGATTTCACTTTTCTGAGTTCTTAATTAGGAATAAAGTTAGATGTTGCCACTTGTCTCCAATTGTATTAGCAAGAAGGTCGGTTAGCTCACGAACACTTTCACGGTTTTGTTGTTGCCATTTAGAATGGCTAATAAAATAATATGTTGCATTTAACGTGAAACAAAATCAATAAAAATAGATTGACAAAAAATGTTTTATTCTTTTAAATAAAAATTTCCCACTGATATACAATATGTTCGGCACATTTTTTTGTTTTACTTTTTTTATAAAACAAAAATAGAATGATAAATTTTTCTCTAAACGCACATTCTCCTTGGTTAACATATGACACTTTAAAATGAACAATGTGCAGTTGTAGGACATAATGGAGAAACTGCAATGCTCTATATATCTGTGAAGATGAAGAGCTGCTATCAAACTGTTAAAATTGCTGTACGGCAAATCGAATGTATGATCAAAAACAAGTGTGGGAATTGTATATACTTTGAATAATTCTGTGCATTTACTTTTACCTGAGTACAAAGCTACTGACTTGAAAGCCTAACCCTTTTCACTGTATTTTATGACAAAAGCAATTTATCTTAATACTCACGGATGGTTTCCTGGGATTCAGGCACAATGTATGTTGTACAGCCTTAAGCTATAATGAGGAGTAAAAGCCATTAAACGAAGAAAGAGATCTATACTGTACCTACACACAAAACATGTTCTATTGTATGTTCTATTATAAAATGAAATAAAATGAAAAACAACTTTTATGAAAAAACAAACTGAACATTATAGTTAACAGTTACTTGTATATTTATAAAAGAGCACATAAATGATAGCAATTCATGGGAAAGGTTGGCCACAACTGGAAACCATTCAAAGGCGCCAACATTATCTTGGAAACAGAAAGTGGCTCACTTACTTTTCACACAGCCATTTCCATTCTAAAAATAGATTAATTACCTCTTTCTTGAAAAGCACTTAAAGGACAACTGTCACCCCATAAATACTTTTTTTTTTTCAATACAAAAATCCTTTCATCAATTTTCAAGGGAAATAGATTTTTTTTAATGAAGTATATTTTAAAAAAAAAATGAAATACTTATCCCTACCTTTTAGTATAGGACAGGAAGTTTCAGTGATATATACACAGGCATCTTGGGTCTGACAGTGTTTGAAAAGTTAGTCTCTATGGGCTTCCCTGCTTTACTTCCTGTACAGAATCATGGAAGACCATAGAGATAAACTATATACTAAAGGTAGGGATGAGTTTTTCTGTTTTCTTTTTTTACATATACCTAATTTAAAAAAAAAAAATATTTCCTTACAGTACTCTGTGAATTATCATATAA